CCTCTAGAAAAAAAAAACAATTATTTTGTTGAACGTTTCATTTTGGAATCAACTATTTAGGCTTCCGCTAGACATGTGCTTGACTTGGCATGCAATATATGCAATGACAGAGACTGGTGTAAATACTTTTGTGCACTAATACATATTTGTGTGTGTTTAGACATAAATACCTATTTAGGTGCGTATGAAATTGTATAAAACATTAAGGCACAAACTAACCCTTGACCCCAGTGATTCAGAACAATTTTCCAGCTGAAAAATTTCCAATTCCTTGATTTTAATTCTCTCTCCTTTTAAGTCAAAACCTACTTTTACTCTCTGCAGGGGATCATAATTAATGATCTATGATTTGTGTCTCAAGAATTTCTTGAGCTCTTCAAGGGAATAATTTTGTTTGAACTTTTTACCATTAATCGCTTAATAATGAAAACAGGTTATTCACTTTCAGTGAATGAATTGTTAGATAGCAACTTAGTTCTCTACAGCAGGAAATCTCTTTCCATGTGCAGAGACATGAGAATCCCCTCTACCAACTTTGTATCACTTGAACACATTCATTTCCCTGGGTGAATGTACTACAAGCTGGCCTCCCCAGTTAGCTGCACCTTACTGTAGGGCAATGGACAGAAGTAAGATTTATTATACCAGTACATACTTCGCCAGGATAGCCCACTCTTAATGCTACAGAAATTAAGACCAGTTTCAGAGGAATGTGTGAGTTCCTATTGCACTGTCCTTTCCCTCTTCCATGAACCTACCATTGAAAGATGGATGAATGGATGGATAGGCAGATGACAGATAGATATTAATAGACAGATGATAGATAGATAGATAGATAGATAGATAGATAGATAGATATAGAGGTTTATATGTCATTGAAAGATATAAATAGATATAGATGATATAGATACAGATATAGATTCCTAGATAAACATGTGAAATAAAAGGATTTTCCATGACCTCTCCCTACTGCCTAGACTGTGCCTTAAGAATTCCCCAAGATTTTTCCCTCATTCTTTTCTCTTCTTGTTCTACCTACTTTCCCTGGACATTTGCATGGGTTTCACAATGGTTTCAACGACTACTTGTAGACTAATCGATCCCAAACACTCATCTCTTGCTCCACAACCTACCCTAAAGTATCGTGCAGGTACCCATCTTCATGCTGCATACGCACCACAACATCAGTATGTCCAGAAATGACCTCATTACCTCCTCCATTATCAGCACTTTCACCGCCCCATTATCACTTCTCATCACCTCCTCAAAAATTTCTTGTGCACTTTGAGGGGATAATTTTGTTTGACCTTGATAGTAGTGAAGGCTTCATCATAAAATATTTTATCATAAATCTTATCTATGTAGAAACCTCAGTGTCAACCTAGGGCCCTCAGCCTAGTCTATTTATCTCCTACATCAAATATGTTTCTCAATCCTGTTGATTGTCCACTTGAAATGTCTCTCAGAGTTGGCTTCTCTTTTTTATTACCATTCTTATTCTCAGAATTCAGCCTTCATCTCTTACCTGAATAGTTATGCTACAGGGGCAAGGGACACAGGCATTAAAATCGGAGTTTAAATCCTAACTTGGCTGCTTTCTTGCTGGGTATCCTTGATTGAGATGCTTAAACCACCTATCTATATCTTCTCATGAGGTTATTTTGTGCAGTAAGTTTAATGATTCTAATGTTCTCAGGGTTTTGCCTCACACACAATGAGCCTTCAATAAGTGGTCACCCCTCACCAAAAGTGCGCCTGATTTAAGCCTCTTCCTACTACAGTCCACCAAAGAGGTATATTTCTAAAAATAAAGATGTCAATGTCAGTCTACTAATTTTAAACCGCTTGTATATTACCTGTATCAAGTATCAACAATGTCACTTTGGACCAGATAATTTTGAACTAGATACTTTTTGACTAGATAATTCTTTGTTGTGGGGTCTTGTCATGTACATTAAAGGATGTTTAATAGCACTCTGACCTTTACCCACTAGATGCCAGTAGTACCTCCTCCTTTGCAGCAATTCAGAATGTGTCTAGACATTGCCAAATATCTCCTAGCAGAGAGGAGAGTAAAAATCACGCCCAGTTGAGAAGTACTGGCCTGCATGACAAAGTCCAAATTGTTAGCATGAATTACAAGAACCCTCTTGATTCAATGCACTCTCTCCTCCTTTGTTTCCTTCCATTCCTATCCATGCTTCCTATCATCCACCACATTCAGCCTCTCTCATAGGGCCAGCTCCTTTCACAATCTTTGCCCTTCCATGAACTTAGTGTTTCCCACTCCTACAATGCCCTTTTCCAACTTCTCTACCTAATGAACCCTTCCTTTTTATCTTATACCCAGCCCAAATGTCACCTTTTCCCAGGAACTCCTGGTCAGAGATACTTTCACTTGACATATACTCTATTTATTTTATATTTTTGTCTTGCTGAGAACATCCTGTATCCTGTGTTTATTCAATTGCCCTTATTATATTGTGAATTTCTAGAAAACAGGGAGTATAACTGATTTATCCACCCATAGCTAATAGTATGGCATCTAGCCCATCATAAGTGATCAATAAGTATTTTAGACAAATTGAACTCATACATCCTCCTATTCACTGAGTTCCCTTTGAGGGTAAGTACATTATTCCACTAAATATTTTAAGTTTTTCTTTATCTACTGAAATATTCTCCTCTTGTCATTTGGTCAGAACCCTTTTTGATAACTAACAACCTAATCCACTTTGGGGCCATGTATGTTAATGGCATAGAAAGTTCTCCTTCCAGAAAGCCCTCTGTCAGGGCAGCAGGCTGTGCTGTGCTTAAGCATACCAGCTCCTATAGGCAGCTTTGCTGGGTTAAAGCTTGTCTTTTATTTTAATTGGCAAAATGAGGGTTCTGATGGTGTTAACTTCAAAGTGTGATTTTTAAGATTAAATGAGTGAATGATTCTAAAACACATACAAGCATTCCATAAAAATTGGCTGTGTTTGTTAAATTTATACACCTATGTAAGACTCTGTTGAAATAATGATTTTATTACAATAAGACACTCAGGGATGTGTTGATGACTGGAAGTGTTTTTAGGATCTAGAAAACATACCATATGAGCAACCTCATGTTTTAGATAGTCCTAGGGGAAGTCTCACATCCACCATAGCATCAGTGCCATGAAATGGTGCCACCACTCTTGCCATATCTCCTTAATGTATAACTGCACACATGAAATATATCTATGCATATTTATAGGCTGACCTTGTTCACATGTTTCAGACATATACATATTTTTTAAATGTATGCACCCACATGTGTATGTACAGTTGTTTTTAAGTGCTGACCTTATTCAAACATGCTGAAACACATTTTCCTTCCACTTATACATTAGGAAGCAATTGACCTCTGGCAACAGTTGCTGTGAAAGTTCAAGTGCCAGGCACCCCAGGGTCAAAAGGTATCCTCATTAACAGCTTTGAGAGCAGCGGATGTCTGTGCTGGCTTAGCTTTGTAAGCAGATCTTTAAAGATTAACCTACAAACTTTGAGGAGAATATACTGGTAGAGCATGTAAGGTGAGCTGACTGATATGTGTCCTATTTTTTTGATTGACAAGGAAAATTGCATATATTTGTGGTATACACCACGATATTTTGAAATATGTATACATTGTGGAATGACTAATTAAAGCTTTGCATTACCTTACATACGAATTTTTTGTGTGGTGGGGACACTTAAAATCTACCCTCTTAGCAATTTTTAAGTATACAATACATTGTCATTGTCACCTTGTTGTACAACAGATCTCTTGAACTTATTTCTCCTGTCTAAATGAAATTTTGTATCCTTTGACCAACATCTTCCCAACCTTCTCCCCTGCTTAGCCCCTGGTAACCACCATTCTACTCTATTTTTATGAGTTCACCTTTTTTAGAATCCACATATAGGTTGTAAAGAAACTTTTTTAGAATCCACATTTTGTTGTAAAGAAATAACTGAGGCTGCATTATTTATAAAGAAAAGCCAGGTATTGTGGCTTACACCTGTAATCCTAGCACTTTGGGAGGCTGAGGTGGGTGGATCACTTGAGCTCAACAGTTCGATACCAGCCGGGCAACATGATGAAACCATATCTCTACCAAAAATACAAAAACTTAGCCAGGCATGCTGCTGTGTGCCTGTGGCCTCAGCCACTTCAAGACTGAGGTGGGGAGGATTACTTGACCCCAGGAGACATAAGTTGCAGTTAGCTGAGATCGTCCCACTGTACTCCAGACTGAGTGACGGAATGAGACCTCATCTCAAAAAAAAAAAAAAAAATTAAAAAAAAGAAAAGAGGTTTACTTGACTCACGGTTCTGGACATTGTACAAGAAGCATGGCACCAGCATCTGCTTCTGGTGAGGCTTCAGGAAGCTTCCAATCATGGTGTCAGAAGAAGGGGCACCAGCATGTCCCATGGTGAGAGAAGGACCAAGAGAGGGGAGGGAGGTGCTAGGCTCTTTTTAACAATCAGTACTCAAGTGAACTAATAAAGCAAGAACTCCACTAGGATGGGACCAATTCATTAATGAGGAATCTGTCCCATGACCCAAACACCTCCCCCCAATAGGCCCTAGTTCCAACACTGGGGATCAAATTTTAACCTGAGATTTGGAAGGGAGAAGTACCCAAACCATATCATGCAGTATTTGTCTTTCTGTGCCTGGCTTATTTCACATGACATAGTATCCTCCAGGTTCATCCATGTTGTCACAGATGATACAATTTTTTGCTTTTTAAGGCTGAATAGTATTCCATTGTGTGTGTATATATATATATGATTTTTTTATGATATTCATTGTGACAGATTGGTCATTTGTATGTCTTCTTTGAGAAATGTCTACTTATGTCATTTGCGCATTTGTTTGAGTTCCTTATGTGTTTTGGATATTAACCCTGTATCAGACGTATGGTTTTCACATGCTTTCTCCCATTCCATAAGGTGTCTCTTCACACTTTTGATTGTTTCCTTTGCTATATGGAGCTTTTTAGTTTAATACAATTCCATTTTATATATTTCTGCTTTTGTTGTCTATACTTTCGGGATCATGTCCAAAAAAAATCATTGCCTAGATTAATGTCATGGAGCTATACTGTACGTTTTCTTCTATTAGTTTTACAGTTTCAGGTCTTATGTTTAAGTCTTTAGTCCAGTTTGAGTTGATTTTTGCATTTGGTGTGAGATAAGGGTCCAATTTCATTCTTCTGTTTGTGTATATCCAGTTTTCCCAACTGATATGTGTCATATTTCTACCATTGCTGCTCTGCTTCAAAAAAAAAAAAACAAATCCAATTAACAAGGATATTCAGTGTACAACTTATTTTAATATACAACTTATTTCAATTACATTGTATATTGTCCCTAGAAGTATTGCCTTATATGAGATGTCTTTACTTCATAAATATTCTTTTTCTAATCTATCTTGGAAAGTTTCTTTCTTTGATTAGGCAACCAAAAACTACTATGATGGGCTTCAGTAGATCCCGAATTTTAGAGGTCTTATTGACTGTTCTAGAAAAATTACCTGATCAATTGCCATACAATAAATTACATATATGGCACAACAGAGGAACTTAATTGGAACTCAACACTAGGGCTTGATTAGGCCTATAAATATCTGTATCACCACATGCTAGTCACTTTTCTCCTCTGGATAAGTCTGTCATTTTTAAAATGGAAATAATAAGAATGTCCTCCCTATCCTTTGGGATTGCTTTTAAAATTAAATAAGATACAATAGGGAAAGGCCCTAGCAGTTTTACAGTTTTCAACGTTAATGTAACATAATTTTGAAATGATCCTGTAGCAGAAAAACAAATCAGCTAAAATTTTATGAGATATAATTTTCATCCTACAGAAGGTTTGAGAGAGTTACTTTATTTTCTCAACATATAAACATGTTTACCATGTGTATTGAGTTACTCTGTGTGACAGACACCATGCTAAGCATTGGATTTACAAAGAGTGCGGCAAATTGCCTTGAGGGACTTACAGTCTGGTAGGAAAACATGCACACACAACAGTTACAGTGGGCTATGTTGGTAATTATGATAGAAATAATGCAGAATGTGTAACAGAAACACAAAGAAAGTAAGGTCTAACATCCTGGCTTAGCCCATCCTTAGCAGTCCATGTTAATGTGCATGTTGGAAACTCCAGAGTCCAATTTCACAGGCTTTTACACTGTATTCAAGGAGCTGGATAATAATATACACAAGTTTAGTTCAGTGTTCTGATGGAAGACATTTAGCAGCTCTCCTCTTTCTCTCTCTCTCTCTCTCTTTCTCTCTCTCTCTCTATATATATACACCTTTTTTTTTTTTTGATACAGAGTTTCACTCTTGTCAACCAGGCTGGAGCGCAATGGCATGATCTCGGCTCACTGCAACCTCCATCTCCCAGTTTCAAGCAATTCTCCTGCCTCAGTCGCCCAAGTAGCTGGGATTACACGTGTGTGCCACAACGCTGGGCTAATTTTTGTATTTTTAGTAGAGACAGGGTTTTGCCATGTTGGCCCCAGCTGATCTTGAACTGCTGACTTCAGGTGATCTGCCCACCTTGGCCTCCCAAAGTGCTGGGATTATAGGTGTGAGTCACTGCGCCCAGTCTAGCAGCAATATTAATAATCAATATTGATCTGAGAAGATTTCATATAACAGCTTTTTATAAACATTTATGCCTTTAAAATCAAATTGGGTGACTTTATCTAAACTTCAAGATTTATTTACTGAACATCTACTCTGTTCCAGACATGAAACTGGATGTTTTCTCTGTGTTATCACATTGAAAAGCCAAATAAATATGGAGCTGCTGTAATTTAATTCCATTATATAAGCCCCTGTTCTCTATCATGAAGCTATTTCTATAGCCTGGCTCATAGCCCATACTCACACTACTTTGCTGGAATTCTGTTGACAAAGTCTGTTCTAACCAAAATGTTCCAAATAATTTTGATTTAGCTGCCAGTCTGTAAATAAGATGCCTCTTTGGTAATGGATTTTCTCTACACAAATGACTTTGACTACCCGTATAATATTAACTTTTCTCAATACAAATTTACATGGTCTTCAAAGTCTTAGTTTACTCAGCAAATTTATAAGTAAGGGAAGAGGATTTGTTGCTGGTTTAGTTTTCTAGGGATTCCATAACAAACTACCACAAACCATGTGACTTAAATAATAGAAATGTATTGGTTTACAGTTCTGGAGACTAGATATCTGAAATCTAGGACTCATCAGGGTTGGTTCTCTCTGAGGGCTGTGAGGAAGAATCTGTTTCATGTCTCTTTCCTAGTTCTGATGGGTTGCTGTCAATCTTTGACACCCCTTAGTTTGTAGACGCATCACCCTGGTCTCTGACTTTATCTTCACATGGCATTCTCTATGTGCATGCACACACACATGTGTATGTCCAAATTTCCTTATAAGGGAAATTATAAATCAATTCTATTGTATTAGGGCCTGCACTAATGACCTCATTTTAGCTTGATTATCTCTGTAAAGATCCTAGCTGCAAATACAGTCACATTCTGAAGTACTGGGGATTACAACTTCAACAAATGAATTTGCAGGGGACACAGTTCAAATCGTGGGAGGTGGTAAAGATGATGCTTTCTACATATTGATTCTGGAATATTATAAAATTAAAGGGCTCTGGGCAGTTCAAAATAGAGGTAAAATAAAGAGTTAGAAGGTGCTTGTTGGAAAGCTGTGATATAACTAACTGAATTGCAAACTCCCTGAAGAAAATGTCAACCATTGCTAATTGCTTCTTTAGCTTCAGTTTACTGACTTAAGTAATATTAGCTATGATAATTCAATTACCTTCACATTTCATAACTAATTAGTGACAGCAAGTGGCAGTCAATACCAGGAAACACCATCTGCATAGTTACTTACTCTGTGTATGTGTATACCCGTACTTGAGTGTGCAAGCTCACAGGCATCCGAATAGGGATGACATCATATCTGTGAAGACATAAATTTGAGGTTAACAATTATTTTTAAACCAGGTTTAAATTTTTAAATTTTTAAACCTGGTTTAAAAATAATTGTTAACTTTCATAAGAAAATTATTACATTGGACTATCACCTGACCAAATGGGTCACCAACTATTTATGTTTTTCATTGACACCTTTTTACTTTTTTTTTTTTTTTTTCTTAAGAACATTTTTTTGCAAATAGAACAGGCACCCAGAATTAGATTTGGGTAAACTGAGAATGGGTTCCATTGTATTCTCACATCTATTGTCTTATTTTATACTGGTCCTGTGAGCTAGGATCATAGGATATTTTAATCTTTATCTAAATGGCAAAGAAGCAGCTCCGAGGAAAATAAATAACATATCTAACATCACAGAATTTGTTGGGGGAGGGATACCAAGACTAGAAGCCAAATCTCTTGACACTTAAAACAAAGAGAATACAGCAGGAAGCTTTCTTTGAGGTGTAGTTGTACACAAACACAAATGGTCTGTCACTTTGTTAAATTGAACAATTCTTTCTAACACTGCAACTTTTGGATTATCCATTTGGTTTCACCTTTATTTCTTCCTTAGTCTGATCTGGGGAATTAGGAGTTAGGAGCAAACGAAACATATGTCTTGTTGAAGATTTTGATGACAGGAATTTCTCCTACACCAGAATGAATTAGTTTCATAACAACAATACAACTCAGTGATGAGATTTAGTGGATTTTGCTTTCTTAGGCAGTAAAAAGCCTTCCTTATATGAAGCTAATCTCCAGGATACGATAACCCATCATAGGTCAGGTTATAAATATCTGAATCCAAAGTCAGTGGTTTTTACCACCCAAGAAGAAGAAACTCTGAATTGCGCTGCCTAGAAATCTGATGGCACTTGTAAAATGGAATTTAGGTACAATAAGGGATCTATCCCTTTATCAGCCATTAGTGACATGAGGTGACTTTGTTCACAGACAATTACACAGTTTCAATTTGTATTTAAAGTTCTCCACAAAGTTTATAATTACATATTCTGTGCCCAACCCTAACCTCTCTCCTGTTTTTCGCCTGCCTGCTGGGCATTACACTAAACTGTCAACCATTTGTTCAAATGTTACATTAAAAACGAAACACACTCTCTTCCATCTTCTACCTAAAACCAGCTTCCACTCATAACTGCATTTCTGACAGAGCTTCCACAATTTTCTTGGCCCCTCCTGGCTCAGAAATTGTAATCATTTTTTACTTTAACTTCTTTCTTGACCTCTGCCTTCAAACAGTCCCTAAGTACTGGCAATCCTTTCTTAGTGGTGGCCCTTCCTTTCCACTATCCTGGAGAGGGCCTCAGTCAGGCCTGATTTCTGAAGGGGCATAACAACCTCCTACCTGCTTGCCTGTGGGCTGGGCCTATAGAAACAAGTTCAGACTTGTCCAAGACTTATTTAAAAATCACACCTCCTCCAACCTCTCCCCACTCTTCTCCCTGGAGGATAAGGCATATTCAGTTCTCCATTACTCATTTAACCCAAAATCTGCTTTCTTTTCCATGATCTGATGAAGTGTTCTAGTCCGGTACATGTTTTGTCAGCCTCCTCAGGTTCCCTAAGAGGTGACCACTGTAACCATGGGTTTCTCAGATGGTTATAATGCAAGAGTCCATCTTATCTAACCTTACAGAATAGCTGCCTGCTAGCAGTTTTCCAGCAACACCACCTCCTACTCACGGCTTTTCCATAGACCTAGCAAAATCTCAGCCCCTAGATATGATATATTGATGTCTCCTTTGTTATTAGAGCTTGTTATTAATTATAACAAAAGATTTGCTTGTAATGTCATGTGTTTAATTTCAAGTAATGAAATCAATACCTGTTGCAGAAACTCAGAAAATACAGAAAGGCAAAGAAAAAAACATTTAAAACATTTTGTATTTTTGCTTCTCTCCTACCGCATCTTTACATTCCTTCCTGTATCTTAACTATTTTTCAATGCTATTAAACTACCTACACCGTCTTCTGATATGTAAAATATATTGTAATTTAACCAATTGTCTATTTTTGGAAATTTTATTTGTTTCTAAAATTTTGCCCTTAGTAGTAAGCCCATGATGAATATCCTCAAAAACATAATTCTAAGAGTACCTATTTTCCCAGTTTTACTAGCATCGGAAGTCATGTCTGCTTTTCAAATATCTTAACAGGTATTTGACTAACAAAATGAATGCTTATTTATTTATTTATTTATTTATTTATTTATTTATTTATTTTGAGGCAGAGTCTTGCTCTGTCACCCAGACTAGAGTGCAGTGGCACAATCTCGGCTCACTGCAACCTCTGCCTCCTGGATTCAAGTGATTCTTCCTGCCTCAGCCTCCCAAGTAGCTGGGATTACAGGCACCCACGTCCACAGCTAGCTAATTTTTTAATATTTTTAGTAGAGATGGAGTTTCACCATGTTGGCCAGGCTGGCTGGTTTCAAACTCCTGACCTCAAGTGATCTGCCCACCTCGGCCTCCCAAAGTGCTGGGATTACAGGCATGAGCCACCACACCCAGCCTCATATTTATTAACGAATTATAATTTTTTCTTAAATTATGATATTATGTAAATTACCCTTTTAATATGAGTATTTCTGTAAAGGGCTTTTACAGATTAAATATGTCAATTCCTTGTAGTATGTTTTGCAACATTTTTTATACCTTGTCATATGCCTTTTAGTGTTTATTATATGTTCTGACATGGAATACTTAAACCTTAAGATACTCATGGGAGTTAGCAATCAACAGGTCATCCGTGACTTTTACAAAAACAACTTCAGTGGAGAGGTTTGTATGAGATTCAGGTTGTGAGAGTTGAAATGTGAATGAAAAGTGAAGAATTTTTAAAAACTTAATATTAAAGTCATATGATTTGGATGTTTTATCCCCTCCAAATCTCATGTTAAATGTGATCCCCAGTGTTGAAGGTGGAGCTCGGTGGGAGATGTTGGATTATGGGGGCAGATTCCTCATGAATGGTTTAGCCTCATCCCCTTGGTGATAAGTGAGTTCTCTCTCTCTTAGTTTCTGAGAAAGCTGATTATTTAAAAGGAGCCTCTCTCTCTTGCTCCCTCTCACCATGTGATATGCCGGCTCCGCCTTTGCCGTCCATTATGATTGCAAGCTCTGTGAGGCCCTCACCAGACGCAGATGCTGTCACTCTGCTTCCTGTACAGCCTGCAGAACCATAAGCCAAAATAAACCTCTTTTTGATATAAATTATGCAGTCTCAGGTATTTCTGTATAGCCATGTAGATGGATTAACACATAAGAGAGAAAAGAGAAGGAAGAACAGAGAGAAAAAACAGGGTCCAATGAAATAAGTTGGTGTTGTGTGTTTGTTAGTTTGCATTTTCAGATGTGGGAAGAAGATAAAAGGATTAACTGAGGGAACTAGATTCCAGAAGAATGAGACATATGTGACACTGAAAAATCAGGCAGAAAGAAAGAGATTTAAAAAGGATGAGAGAGTTTCTTTCTCAGGAGTTACAGGTTCCTGAAGATAGAGATATGTAGGGAATGTGAGAAGACGAATGAAGAAAACAAATTACCATTTTCTTCTGCAGAGTATGTTTCTTTGTTTGTTTGCTAAGACCAGGATAAAAAGAAAAAAATGGCCTCAGAAATGAAAACAACAATACCTGATATTTGAGTAGCATAAGAAACACTTTTCCTTTGGAATCATAGAATTTGGTTTTTGTAAACTTTTTCAGAAACATACAGGCTTTTGCCTCCAAGGTAAAGATTCAAAATTAATTTACGTAAGCATTCTAAATATGCCTAAGGAGATAACCAGAAAAAAAGACAAAACTGATTTAAACAGAGATTTTGAAAAAGAGTTTTAAAAAATTATTATTTTAAAAGAGAATAATGAGTAAAAACAAAAGGCATGCCTAATATCTCATTAGTATTCTCTACAGAAAAAGTGTTTAGAATCATGAAGTATAAAGTTTCAATTATTCAACAGGTGACAGCATTTCCTAAGAAATGACTAAGAGAAAAAAAATTCACCCTGAATACCATACCTGAAACAAAATTAGTCCTTAAGGTAGTAGTGACAGCACAATTGTATTCTGCTTAACAAATTACCACAAATGTAGTGACTTTAAACAACACAAATTCATTTTCTTACAGATCTAGAGGTGAGAGGTCCAAAATGACTTCCCACTGGGCTAAAATCAAAGTGTTGACAAGGTAGAGTCCTTTCTGCGGGCTCTATAGAAAAACCTGTATCCATACCTTTTCTAGTGCCTGGTCACCTCTTGAATCCCTTGGCTTGTGTTCCCCTTCCCTCATCAAAGCCAGCAGTGTAGCATCTTCAGAGCTCTCCTTCAAGCACTCTCCTGACTGCCCCTTTAATTTATGAGGACCCTCATGATTACACAGGGCTCTCCTGGATAATCCAGGCTAATCTTTCCATTGCAGGAGCCTTACCTTAACCATATCTACAAAGTCCCTTTTTCATACAAGTAACATACAGGTTCCAGGGATTAGAACAGGGACATCTTTGGGGGAGGCCATCATTCTGTCTACCCCAGCAGTTTATGTGGTGTCAAACATAACTAAAAGGTTTGTTGAAGCCCCTCATTTGGTGATAAAAATACACAGCTAAGCAGGGCCTCCTTCTCCTATTTAAAAACAAACACAAAAACAAAAAACCCCTGTATACTTGATGTATATAATGTATTTTTTTTAGACAGAGTCTGGCTCTATCACCGTGGCTGGAGTGCAGTGGAACAATCTTGGCTCACTGCACCTCTGCCTTCTGGGTTCAAGCAATGCTTGTGCCTCAGCCTCCCAAGTAGCTGGGATTGCAAGAGTGTGCCACCATGCCCAGCTAATTTTTGTATTTTTTTAGTAGAGTCAGGGTTTCGCCATGTTGATCATGGCGAGTCTCAAACTCCCAGCCTCAAGTAATCTGCCCTCCTTGGCCTCCCAAAGTGCTGGGATTAAAGGTATAAGCTGCCAT